GTTATATATTTTTTTTTTTTTTTTTTTTTTTTTTTTTTTTAATATAAGTAATAAATTAATAACAAAAACTCAAAAATATCAAAGGTTTTATAATTCCTTGTTTGCATTACAAGTAAAATTAAAATATTTTTCTAGCATGTATTTTATTTATTTTTTTTTTTTTTTATTGTTTCAAAAATTAACAATGTAGAACAAAAAAAATTTATAAGGAGTTGTTTTTTTTTAAAAAATAAATCAGAAAAAAATTTTAGAGAAAAAATTTTCAAAGGAGAGGAACTTTTTTCATTAACTAAGAAAACATACCAATATCTCATTGATGTGCTGCTTATAAATAATAATAGGCAATATTAATAAAAAAAAAAATAATTTTTTTAATTTTTTAAGTTAATATTTGATCCTTTTGAAACTAATTATATTATCACTATAAATATAAGAATGAAAATTTTTTTTTTTTTTTTGAATACATGTCTAACACCAAAACACAATTAAAAATTCATCAAAGATGGTTCAATACATATTTGTTTATTTTCAAGAGTTATTATATCTCTTAATATTAATAGCTAGATGTAATAATAAACATCTGAATTTTTTTTTTTTTTTTTTTCCTCTCATTGGCATGTTATATATATATTCTTCTAAAAATTAATATTATTCAAATAAGAAAATAAATTACAAATTTATTTAACTAGGGGTATTATCAATAATTGCCTTATCCTCAAAATTGTTATAAGATTCCAATTCTTCATTAAAATAAATTTCATTACAACCTTTTTTATTAACGTCTAAACATTTATCTACCCATTCACTATAAACATCGATACACTCATCTAAATTGGTTATTTGATTTACATATTTTACACCACATTTTAAACAAATTAATTCTCCTATTCCTTTTGATCTATGCCTAAAGTAAAAATAAAAAAAAAAAAAAAAAAATTATCGTAAAGATTCTTTGTTTTTACAATAAAAAGAGAAAAAAAAAAATTATTTTAAATAATTCTTTTTTATTACATTTTTATGTCAATAGATTTCTTGTAACTACAAAAAGGGCAATTAAATTGAGTTTCAAGTTTTATTGGTTTTTTTTTTTTTGGTTTGATTTTTCTAACTTTACTTCTACCCATTTTCCATTAACTTTTGAATTATCAGCTTATATACATATATATATATATAAAATCTACTTTAAATAATGAATTATGATATCTTCAAATGTTTTTATATGAATATTAAAAAAAACATAATAAAATAAAAGATAAATATATATAAGAAAAAATCAAGATTGTTAATTAAAAGAGGGTTATGGTTACTTTAAGATGTACATGTATATATTTTAAAATATAAACACAATTAAAACAAAATATAAAGTTTTTATAATATTAAGTATAATAAAATTATTTTTTTTTTTATTCATTTACAACAATTTTAATAACTATTTTTTTTTTTAATTTTTTTTTTTTTTTAAAAGAAAAAAGAAGAAAAAAAAAAAAAAAAAAATTATTCCATAAAAATTATCATTATAACTTAAAAATATTAGTAAATAAAATAAAAATAATTTCGTTTGAAATATTTCCTATTAAAATAATTATAAATAATTAAAGGAAATAAAAAGGAATTTTTTTTTTTTTTTTTTTTTAAAATTATTATTATAAATGTTAATCTATCAAAATATTATTAATATATAAAAAATAAAAAAAAGCTAAGACATTAATGAAGCATTATATTAAGTTTCAAAATACTAAAGATGAAAAGAGTTGAAAAAAAATGGGTAATGAAGAATAAATTTAATTATAAAATAAAGGGAAAAAATTTTTAATTTTTTTTTACATAATTATAGAAATTTTCATTTTTTTTTTTTTTTTTTTTTTTTTTTT